TCACAGGACAAAGACGACACTATTAAATTAATAAGCTGGAATCATAATGATCAACATTTTAAAGTTTAGAATAGTTCATAATATAATGCCTATCATCTACCGAAATCTTTTGACTCGATCACTGATTATTAAAATTCAGAACTTCACATAAACCTAGTTAAAAACAAGAGGGACAGAGACAGTGAAAGTAAATCAAACTAATACAGTTATCAATTTAGTTACATTTACTACTATCTCGAAACAAAGTGTCAGTTAGTAATACTGAATTTTTACCGTTTATATCAAAGAGACAGATTGTGGTTAGTAGTACAATCTATTTAGGAATGGTCGGGTGGACGCGCCCGAACCCCAGTTTTAATATTCTCACAGGAACTCAAACCCATTACCTTTCAATTCAATCACTAATACGTTAACCACTGATTTAGTGAGTTCAGATACTTGCTCATTTGTGAATCGGGTATGATATTTGTATCATTACTAGAAAGGTATGAGTAAGGTGAGCGTCGGTTTCGCTCTCAAATCAGTACTATGGACAACCTTGGACTTTGGTCGTACTAAATTTCATTCGTTGTGCATTCATCATTTCGTGATTATTGACTGAGACTATCATATAACAGTATGGAGTAATACAATTGGAATTGGAGTGATCTTTATTTCTTATAATCGTTTTTGCAGGTTTTAGAATCATTTATCATAGATGTACAGTTATTAACTGAAACGTTTTGGTATTATGTTCAGTTGTACAATAATTACTTGTTCACCTTTACGACTATTCTTGATCGTGTGTATTTCGATGAAACTTTAGTACCTGGAATACTCTCCGTTTTATGGTAGCAAACGTTTGGATGATTTGACAGTATAGTTGATTTCTTTTATTACATCTTTGTAATTCTTTCCCTAAATCTTAGATACTTTTTCCCAATATTTTAAGCGAAATATTTCAATTCATCAATATGGTGAATTGTATGATCGAAAAGTTCCTGAATATCAAAATTTGGTTCATATAGAAAAATCAATCAAATTACTTGAATCAAATTGGCCTGATCAAACAATTTGTTCATCGTCGCTTAAAATACCAAATGATAATGATGATCAACTCTCAATAAAAAATAAAGATGAACCCGATAATGAGCAATCAATTATAGAAGGAATTCATAATATAACAACCAAAAATACTGAAAATTGTTTAATATTTCCAATTCCTGGTGCATTCAATGCGTTTGAAGTGAAAAGAATTAAATCAATATTTAATTGGAAACAACGAATGTAGGGGAATAGACAAAAATGAAAGGAAGAAATGAACAGATGAAATTATGGATGAGATTTTGTTCTTCGACATTTTGATAAGACAAATTCATTCTTTAGTATCAACAGCATTAAAAGACAAACTGTTATCAATAACATCGTATATCATATCCATTGGACAAATTAACTTATTGGTTTAGTTGAGTATGTGTCAGTGTTTGAAAACAATAAATATTGAGTTCGATTCAAAATATGGACATTGACACTGGGATACAGGTACATCCAAGTGATGTTTGATTTCCAATTTAGACGGAATAATGATCCTATATTTCACTGTTAGTTACTATTCAAATCTATGAGGACTGTGTAAGTATAGATAATACCGAGCGTTCATAAACCAAAATAGACAGGTCAAATTAAGGGAGACAACACTGATGCTTTTGAGTAATAGTGATAATATTATTTCTTATTACTTTTAAATATTAGGATGTTATCAAATAATGAAAGTCATCACTTAGGTTATAATCAGTCTTCACGGGTAGGAAGGTTCGTCCAATCTTACCATTCTTTTCCAACTTTGTTATCGATGATATCCTGCGAATAGCTCTCATTGATGTAGGGAGTGGTGGTGTGAATCCGTCACCTAGAGAAAGATTTTTCGATATTAATTACTCTGAAGACAGTCTTATTGTACGGTGGCACTCAAGCTACGGAAATCGCACTTAATCAGTTGGGAATCAATGTCCGTAGGTAATAGCACGTACTTTGCACCTTTTAAGTGTTAAATGATTTTACAACACCACCAAGAGCCTCCACTAGCACACACTTTCTGTGGTGAACCATCGTAAGTAGTCGAGTTGTTGTTTCTGGGTAGTTGTGTAAGTGCTAATGTTGGCGTGAGTGATGAAATCAATTTATGTGTAGTGAAAACCAGAATGGTTTATTTCAATCTACGCCATCTTTGGTGACTTCGTAATGTCAGTCTGTTTGTGAAACCTAGGGTCTCGGTGTTAAAGATGTTCGTGAACTCAGTGCTCAATTATCCGTCTCATAGTGGGTGATGACATCCAGTGGAAACGCCATGTTAATAATGTGGAGGTTCAGCATTGTTTGTTCGGGAAGTGATGGTAACTAATTTAGTGTCACCATCTCCGGAAACTTGTACGTGTCCTGAGAATTTCAACACAGAGACTTTTATACCATGCTCTACCTTCTGACTCTGAGACTAGTTGGAGAAAGCGGAATTTACGACGTGGTAACGTGGCATGAAAAAAAATTTGCACAGGACTGGTACCTGTAAGCCCTACAGGGCTCACAGGTCGGGGTCCTGGAGATGATGCAATTTAATGGGTTGAGACATTATCAGATAAGGTTCAGAATAGAAGGCAATGGTAATCTTGCCATCGTTTTCTTACACATCCTTCATATAAGTGGAAGGAACTCATTTGATTAAAATCCTTACTGGTTGTTTTTCCGATTAAAGTGTCTCTCCCACTATAAACTAATCTCACTCATTTACTTCTTCACACATTTATTCACTTTGAATATACCCCCCTCTACTTCATGTCTTTTCAAAATATCCTTCTTTTATCTATAAAGGGAAATATTTATCTTGATACCCAGTTGTACCAGTATTTATCTGCTCATTGCTATTGTTAGTGAATACCCCAGCTGATTATGAGTTGCTACTGTCAGTAACACAGTGAATATTGAAGTTAAACTTCTTGCTAAAATGTTAACATGTTAAGCCAATATCAACATTCAAATATCATCCTAATATGGCAGAAACAACATTATCTTGTATCAGATTATTTCAATGTCATCAAAAGTTAGAATAAATAAAATGTCATTTTATAGTTAAGACAAAATACTAGATAATTTATTTTTGAGAGCTGTCTGAATTTTGCTGTTGTTGATGTTAAGGGCTGGATTTGAAAATTTCCTTTTTTGCATATGTGCATCCTATGCCAACAACCTTGATATTGTCATTCAGTCACGAAGCATTATCTAATTCTGCTCAGAAAATACTAGTAATTTGATGGAAGTATTGAGGCAATTTTCACATGATACTAAAAAAGAAATTGATCAATTTCAGTTCTTAACATCAACAACAGGAAGATTGAAAACAAAACCTTCAGAATGAATTAAAACTTACCTCTCTTGTACAATCCAGTAGCTGTCTGAAATCACTAGCTAAATGAATAGCGAGTTCAGCGTTTAAGGGTACTGGGTTCGTGTCTCTATGTGAACATCAACATTTGGCGCAAGTACATCCACCTGAAGAGTTCTATACAAGACGAAACAAATGTCTTTAATTGCACTACTTTCCAATATTGAGCTGTTTAAAAATGCTAAATAGTTATTCTGCTTAAATTCTCGATTGTACAACAGTATTTATTTCCAATCACCGGAATCGATAGTAGAGTATACACGTGATAATAAATTGACAAGCGACTGATTTTTAAGATGTTGTGTTCTTTGAGTCGGAGAGAACACAGAATCCTCGAAATCCTTTGTCATTATTTTAAAATATCTGGTACTGAAGCTTTGTCATTTTCAATTCGTAAAGATAAATCCTTCTTCAAATTAAGGATTTTCAATAACTATATATCCTACAGGCTGGAGTGCAACCATACTGAGGCACGTGATAACAATCGCATTGAATAATAAAATTAAAAAAACGGATTATCGGGTCTAAAGTTTACAATCACGATGAAACACTAGTCTGTCTAATACTTCTTCGTTTTACATAGTTCATCAGATGATATCATTCCCTGATGTAAACTATAGACAAACTATTGAATTTTCTTAGATGTAGATTTCGAATGTTGATTGTCACGAAGTTTATCTAGTCTCAGAAAAGCGTTCTCTTTCATTTATTGAATAATATATCAGTATATACCGTCTGATTATTGGTCCTTTGACAATACGACAGGTAGAATAAATGAAAGTGATATGTTGAAAAAAAAATTGCGAATTGAACTGGAGATTGGTCTCACGTACTTACATAATCAATGACAAATATGCACCAAAAATTTTTACTAACCACATGAGATTATGATGACCCCTAGCATCTCTATTTTCTATTACTTTACAACTTAACTCTAAACATTTGTGAACCAAATTTGGTATAAACTAGAAATCCGTATTTGGAACACCTCGCAATGGCTTTAGCTGTCCCTTTATTGATTGTTTAACCTTTCGACATGGAAAGCTTTTCCGGTTTTAAGGGCATGGACAGAATAAATATATATAATCATAAATGTTGTATCATGTTTATGTCTTTAAGGGTGACAGTATTGAAGCTCTTTGTTGTAGAATAAAAATTTCTTTACTTGCTGATAATGTGCTCATTGGGATGAATACAACTGAAGGGTTGTGGTTGTATAGCAATATGATAGATTATTTACCTACTCTAATGGAACACATCATCAGGATTTCTGAATTCCTTTGATTTCACAGACTAACAACAGACATATATTGGCCTGTGTTTGATAATATAGTACAGAAACTAATTACCGATTTGATAATGAAACAATTTATATCAATGAATACTATTTTCTAAAAAATATTATACACATAGAGTGCTAATTGTGCATTCTTATTTAAGCAGTCTCATACTAAGACGAAACGACCGTCCAGTGCTTCCAGGTTTTCAATGGTGGTCTCACATTCATGGATTCATGATCTCAATCAAAAACTTAACAATCTCCACAGCCCCACAATGATCATTAGAATATCACTGACGATTTATTGTAGTTAACGCATGATTTTTATGTGAAATTTCAGTCAATTGACTTTAAAAATTACAAGAATCACAGATAACTTTTAATTTAATACAAACTTAGTCGAGTACAACAGGAAAAGGATGAAATTGTTTCATTTTACAATGATATGACATTTTTTTAATCAATAACACAGAAAGCAAAGCTATGAAACAATACTATATACAAGAAGAATTTCATAGAAGTAAACAAAAAAACACGACACAAACTGTTGTTCAGTTAATATGTTGAACGTTGTGACGTGACGTAAGTCAAGGTCATGTCAAGAAATATTGTCACTACTACTGTTATGATTCCAAAACGTATTTTTATAAACAAACATATGAAGGAGGAGAGATAACAGTCATAATAGTAATGATAATAAATAGATATTGTGCTAGGATATACACACGAATATAAAAAGTATTCATATTTATTACAACTTAAAACATTGATGATTGTTTTATCAAATAAGCTGATAACTACTGTTACTAATAATAATAATAATAATCACACGAGCATACAAATATCACAGCGATGTCAAATGACAATGTCTCGAAGTAACATGATTTGAATGCATAATACTAATGCAGGTTACTCATCCAACTGGAAGCCGTTTCAAGAGCATGTTCAGTGAAATGTTGTTCAGTGTCAAATTGTCTTCTCTATGTAATAAACAGATAAGAAATTATTGTATATGTATATACATTAGGACTAAGCCATTTTAGAAATAAATTAAATATGTATGTAACTTTCAGTTGAATATCATTACCAAGTTTTGATTTGATAATTTTGAATAAATTGAGCATTGGGTAGATTGTTATAAATAAATTCATATATTTATAATATCCCAATGAGTAGAAAAATTAGATTTTCTGATATTTCGTGACTCAGTGTAAGCCACTTCTTCAGAGAATAAAAAAGAAGTGGCTTACACTGAGTCACGAAACGTCAGAAAATCTTATTTTTCTACTTATTCGGTATTACAAATATATTATTTATTTCAGTTGGATAGTTTGAGTGATATACTAATTTTTTAGGTGATCCTATTTTAAAATATCATTAATCTTGAAAGTGTGCAATGATATTGCCGATAAATATGTTGAATTATTCACATCACCATAACCATTATTGCATGTTCACTAATAACGACTAACTTCGAGAACTTTTCAAGACCTAGTGAGAAGCTACGACCAGTGGAATACTGAAACACAGGTTTTCAATTATGTTTATTGTTGTAGTTGCTACTACCTGACTGTTTATATTGAAGAAAATTTCAGTTACGAATTGACATCACCTAAAAAATAGGGGGTATTGGACGATTACTTCGTCAATGGATTAAAACTCTACAGTAGAATGCAACCATGATCACTGCCAGAATTGAGAGAGATAACTTTTAATCTCGTATGTTCATTATACATATCCATATATACATATGTGTTCTCATTGACCTTTCAGTCTCGTGTGCAGTTACGGGTATGAGGGCTAATATCACTTCCCGACTGCCCACACCGTGGAAGGGTATTTCTTGAGGGACATGAAAAAGAAGTTGGATTAGTGTTGGTCTTAACGAACTGGGAGCGTGACCGCAGTGCCCAAGGGACAACTGCTTGAGGCCGGTCACCTTTAGAGTTTACTTAAGAGAAAAGCAAATAATTAGTGATGAATCATACATTGTCTCATTCTCATAAATTTCACATCTCTTTTCAGGATGAATAGTCTAATTTTTTTCAAATTAAAACAAAATTTTGAGCAATTATTATTTTGAAAATGGCACTTTGAATACAATAAGCATCTGATTATTTAACTTGTTTTAACATGTTTTCCATTCATCTGTAATTGATCGCTTACTCAAACTGAATACTATAATACAATCAATCTAAGACTTTAACTGATACCTTTTACAGGTTATTTAAAAAACGATATTTATGTTGCCTGTATCCTAACATAGTAACACAGATAAATGCTTTTTTCCGAATAGATAGATAGCCATGGTCCACATTAGAACAGTAAAGGTATTGAAAGGACAGTTTATTAATCGAGCAGTTATTTTTTGAATGCGTTATATACCTTACGAATATATATATATATATATATATATATATATATATATATATATATATATATATATATAGTTGGTGGGCTGTTGATGCAATTCAGATGTCTAAACTGAATTTCGGATAGTTTAACAGCTAAGGCATTTGTTTGTTTTACTGAATATACTTTGAATACAAGCGAAAGTTTTTAGACTGATGGTCGAAATTAAGTGAATTGGACAATCGCTTTGGTTCATTTTTCTAATGAATTATCTTTTCAGAGAATATTTTAATCATTTACTTCGTGAATATTATGTTACACAATAAAGTGGGTAAACAAATTACATTTATTCATAAAAAATGGGCAAACAATATATACCTTGATGTTTAGGTGAATTTGCTGGTGTCATACAACTTTCACTGCTAACTGATGAGTTTTTTGTCAACTTTCGATCTAAAAGTTTCTGCGGAAAAAAGAAAATTTTTTTTTATTTGTGTAAACAAATATAACTGATTATAAACAGATTCTTGCATTCAGTTCTTAATAATACGTTCTGTGTACATATGACCCCTAATGATACTTGTTGTTATTTATAAAAAAATTGTCTACACAAGATATTCCGGATTCGATAGTTGCATATAACACCAACAACAACCTATTGTGGCAGAGAACGAACAAGCTTCCAACTGAACACAAAATGAGGAAAAGACGCCTGAAATGGATAGGACAAACATTGCGGAAATCATCAAACCCCATCACAGAGCCAGTCCTACCTTGCAATCCTCAAGCCAAAAGGAAAAGAAACACGCCAAAGAACACATTGAGCCAGAAATTAGAGACAGATATCAAAAGAACGAATAACATTTGGCAACAACTGGAAAGGGGAGCCCAGGACAGAGTAGGTTGGATAATTCCGGTCGGCTGCCTATGCTCCTCCACGACAGGTAGCAGGAGTAAAAGAAAGTTGGTACGTAAATATTAAACCACAGATTCAGGCAAGAAATGCATCGAAGTAACAGGTTCGTGAGTAGTTAAACTTCGGGAAACAACCATTTCAGTCGCTTAAGTCTATTTTTTGGTCTTCTACTGGAAGTTCGTTAAACAAACAATTAGAGTTCAATTATTTAATCAACTCACATATATAAGATAATTGGTGTGATGAACTCTTAGTTGACTATATCTTCATGTGATAATCAACTAGGTTTCAATAAATTTATGATAGTGAATTTTGATGAAGCTCTAGATAATGTAGGTTGGTGGCAGCTCATTTCTATTAAAAACAACCTGCGCTTAAGTCGGAACAAGTGACTGTCTCATGAAATCGACACACTAACCAAGCACATATCGCTTACAATCTAAACTGTTTATTGTCCTAACTACTTGCATTTTCAACTGAGGCGAATAAAGTTCTCAACGATCGTCTGATAGTATTGCATTTAGCTGTGAGAAACCATAAATTATCCCTTATGGATCAGAAAACTCGTTCTCAAAAAATTATTCGGTGCATTTATTCAACCCACGTACAACACGTAAACAAGTCTATTTCGGTATGATTCGTTCAGTACCAATGTTGCTCGGTCTAATATAATCTCAACATGAGGAACATGTTAACAGGCTGTAATAAATGTCACTAATCGGTAAGAGTAACCACAATACTAAATAACCACCAGTGATGATATCTCTTCCCTAGTCATGTGACATATTCGGGGAGCATATACTCATTTAATTAAACGTACATATTCTTTGGAAGAATGGTCTATTGAAACAGACATCCCAATAGATACCCCATGATAAAACTTGAACAGTCACATACAGGAGTTATCCGGCTGTTTCTACCTTAGACAATACTCTACAATGTTCAAGAAAAACTCCACTGACCACTAAGAAGGAAAACCAAAACCTTCTCTGAATACAAGAAACAATACAAATGCAACCTTATTCAATGAGTAAGTATGTAAGTGAATTTTCACATTTAGTGATTTTCCACCCAAAGTCGTTGCATGATGAAAGTGGTCTTGAACCTGAACTAGCAGCAGTAAACTATTCAGTTAAGTGTTAATATAAATCTCAATCCTGGTGTTGACCACAGCTATCTCATCTAGACATAAGATTTCTCAGCAGTACGTAGTTAACGACCTCACCAGGAATCGAATCCATGACCTTCGAATACCATTAGATCTTGAAATTAGCTACCAGTAGTACATATTTCCAACTTCAATTGATTCATAATTTAGAGTGACAATAACAATAAGTAAAGTAAAGTAAGTAAGTAAAGATGAATCAGTTAACTCTAGTTGATTTTATCTTCTTGAATAAAGTTATGCAGCTTTTAATCAAATCAATCGTTTCAATATGATATGCAAAGATATATGTGAAGAAAGAAAAAACGAACCTTATATTTAGTTACTGTGCTCAATGCTAAAGATTTTTCCATTTCCAACGATTGGATTTGCTCTTTCAACATTCTAGCATAAAAAGGATAATAGAGCAAGAAAATAACAATAAAAATTTAATGAATTTTTGAGAAAATTTCAGTGAAGTAAATTGATTGGATGCTCACATAAAAATGCATGTAAAGGTCAAACTCAATATTAACTGGAAATCCCAAATACCCTTGTACGTTCGAGGGTGGGATAGGTCAGTTCTTGATCCTAAAACTCATTTACAAGGTTACACGTTGGTAACCTCTGTTAGAAAAGTCCTACTTACTGCTCTTATGTGGTGGGGTGTTTTTAACGGAATGGAGGGGGTTGATATGTAAAGAGGGTCTATCTACAGAAGTCGAAGAACTCTAATTCTACTAAATCGGTGGTGTGCATAGGATTCAAGACCCTGGGGGAACAAGTGGCATATGAACTTACTCCGGTCGCAAGATACCATGAAACTGCATCTCCTGACATTGCATAACTGTCTTATGGATCAATCTTCGGGGGCAAGGGCTCGGTAATTGGTCTACTTAGAAAACAACCTGCTTCGACATAAGTAACAGGAGAGAATTCTAACGCACTCACAAACATGATAATCAATAACTATGAAGAAAATGATTTACTGTTTGGCATATACATTTTTGGTGCCCAGTTGTAACAAATTTCATTCGTTTTATATAAATAGATGGAGAATAGTGCAACTTCTTTACCAAGTAAAAAATCAACCAACTCGGATTTCGATCACTCTAGATGTATACGTGTGATTGTTAGTGAGGCTAACCGACTGACAAAACCAACACAAGTAGAGTAAATTTCGAACCTGTGACCTAATGACCGAAACTCAAAGATGCTTTAGTCATTATCCCACCGCTTTATATTTAGTGAGATTAACATTTGATGCTCAATCTGAGAAGTGCTCTGTAATAAATGCACCACTCAAGAGGGTAATTTTGCATTGGTCTTCAAGGGAGCCAAAAGCCCTCCATATTCTTTACAACTTGAAAAGAATGGAGCAATCACACAGGTACCAAGATTCAAGCAGGACCGCCACAAAGCTTTGCTTTGATTGATGATGATGATGATGATGATGATGATGATGATGATGATGATGATGATGATGATGATGATGATGATGATGATGATGATGATGATGATGATGATGATGATGATGATGATGATGATGATGATGATGATGATGATGATGATGATGATGATGATGATGATGATGATGATGATGATGATGATGATGATGATGATGATGATGATGATGATGATGATGATGATGATGATGATGATGATGATGATGATGATGATGATGATGATGATGATGATGATGATGATGATGATGATGATGATGATGATGATGATGATGATGATGATGATGATGATGATGATGATGATGATGATGATGATGATGATGATGATGATGATGATGATGATGATGATGATGATGATGATGATGATGATGATGATGATGATGATGATGATGATGATGATGATGATGATGATGATGATGATGATGATGATGATGATGATGATGATGATGATGATGATGATGATGATGATGATGATGATGATGATGATGATGATGATGATGATGATGATGATGATGATGATGATGATGATGATGATGATGATGATGATGATGATGGTTTGACAAGGTTCATATCGTTTGATGGATTTATAAAAAGATAAACGTTTTATATTGGGGTCAGAAGGAAGGCAGGAAATGATTCCTTCAGGCCAAAAGTTTCAGCAATATTACTTTCAATGAAGAGAAAGCTATGCAGTAGTGAACCCATACAGTGTAAGCGGTGAATGGTTAGTGAGTGAAGACAGAAAAGATAGGATGCATCCCACACAATCAACGGACTAATATTGTGAATGACTTTTTCTCATTCAGTATTTACATCCGTTACTTTGGATATTGACGTCTAGTTTGTTGATTAAATGGTCGAATAAGTGTGCTTGTAGTTTTATGATTCAGTCACATACCCACAATATACCACTGGTGAGATCACGAACCTATATAAGTTAGACAACCAGTGATAACTTGGAAAGATTGGACAGTTGTTTCGTTCTGGTATGGGACTACTCCTTTGGAGTTTGCAACCACAACCCTAACCATCGCGGACCATACTCATGATCTTCGGTCTAGGGAGTCAACACTTAACCCCTAAATCATTGGGGCGGAATCCAGTGGTGTAGATGTCTAACTTTAATCAGTGCATGATATTGCTCAATCACCTTCTATTGTCTTTAGTGGGTACATCTTGCTGGAAGTCGATAAGTTTGAACGCCACTAGTCACGGTTTCTCAATAGAATTTCGGACATGCACATCACTGGATTCTGATTAGTTATCTCAATAACATTCAATAATCTCCCCCCTCCTATGCTAATAATTACGCTCTAGTTTGTAGGGTATTACAGCGGAACACTAGAAACAAGTCTCCTAGGTATTAAAGTATGAAGTGCTTCATTGCTGGAAATATGTTAAGTACAATCTTACGAAATTACAATAACCATACGGCTAATGAGAAAAATGATGATTGTTCACTCACCTGCTTTCAGTTATTAAGGTGTCGATATCTTGAATTTTTCGTTCATCTCCACTTAAAATATAATTTAATTCATTGTTCAATCGATCACATTTATTACGATATATATCTCGTTCCGTTGCGATTTCTTGCTTCTCATCAAGACATTGCCCCAATTCGCGTTTAAGTTCAGAGAGCTTTAAGAGAAACAGATTGAATTCCTTTTTTAGAAAAAATAACGTCAAACGTAAAGTAGTGAACATAACATAGTACAGTTTATTCGTCGACAAAATAAAAAGGGAATATACAGCTAATAAGTTATGTCACTACATATCAGAATCGAGTAGCAGTAAAGTATTTGTTTTTAAAATTTCTTAACCTTAATGATAACAAGACAGTAAAATAAACCTTTAATACATAATTTATTGACAGGATTAAACTGTACAGGGACATAACATAATATGACATAGGTGACATATGCTGGTTCTAATTAAGGCCTGCATCCATCGTTACTCTTCTAGTGTCAATCTGTTATAAATGCATAAGACAGATTACCAGAAAATATACAAATTTGCACCGTATTGGTGATGTAGTTAGGTATGAGTGTTAGTAATAAGAAATATACGACTTGGGACATACATGCATCGATCCAAGTTGTTGCACAAAATAATCAAGAAACATATAAACTTTTTAGGGAAATATTACTTCAAAAGGATGTACAGACACTGGAAAAACATTAAGCACCTGAAAAGTAAGCTCTTCCAATTGAGTTACATATGCTTGGCGATCATTTCCGGAAACTCTAGGATCCATTGCGTGTTGGTTTTCACATGAACGATCGCTTAGTTGTTTTCTCAACACCTTAATATCTCCTTGGAGTTCTTCAATTTTTTCACGAGAATTCATTAGCTCATGTTCTAAACTTTTGTTAGCTTCTCTGCTTTCAACTAACAAAGAAGCAAGCTACAAAACTTATATGGGGAAAATGTAACCATATACCTGTTTGGTCGATAAATGCATTATATCAGGGGTAGAATATTGATCTGCTTCATCACATTCCATTAGAGTTTTTCTGAGCACCTGGTATCGACTCATTACCTAAGAGACGTCGAAGACAGACTAATAAAATACTTGTTCTGCCATTCTCTTGAATTCATTTTTCTCTTTTATGCACTTTTCCAATGAGGCATTCAAAATTGAAACTGCTTGTGTCTTGGCATTCAATTGCTGAACAGTTACTGTCAGCTATTAATTATAGTATTGATATTGTTTTGTAACTCACATCAGTTTTTAGATTTTCCAACTCCAAATGTAGTCGTTCTTCTAACTAGAAATGATTTATGGTAAGAAGAATAAAATTTCCGACCAACCATTTGATTAGCGATGAATAATACAGTCTCCCATATACATATCTGAAACATGAAGAATTCGTCTCCTTAACATCAGCAAAAAAATATGGAATATGTAGAATTTTATAAAGTTTGCTTTGGGGCTACTTATTTTTTAACTTTTAAAATATTGCATGAACTGTTTCATTTTCAAGAAGCTGATATCGATCAACAATATTTGTTAACTGTATTATGTATTTATGTAGTTACATGGAGTATCCAACCTAACCGCGAAAATCGAAAATTCGAAGTCATAGTAAATGTGGGCATAGTCTAAAAAAGAATGAGGGGTCGTCATGTACATTTCCCTGAAACATCAAGCCCGAGCTTCATATCTTTGATGGACAAAATGGATTATTTCGGTCTGCAAGCATGTAAATTAAATCACAAGAAAATTCATGATGATAACTCACTTACGGAGTACAGTTAAATGTACATGGCTTTAGGCTACAGTATAATTGTGAGGACTAGTAATGCTATTCGGGTGCTCAAACTGAAGTAGGTGGAGCGGAATCCGAACTAGTGAATTAATGGCTGTATATCGGACGCCTTTCAGTTAACATGAAAAAGTATAGAGGGTATGTTGCTACTGACGTGAATATACTTCGGTGTGTATCAAATTTCGAAATGATTTTGATGATTTCGGGTATAGATATTTGGAAGAATATTGTCATACATTTTTTGTAAATATTTCTGTGACTCCTAACATAAGACCAACTGCATTGTTCTCTTACATTAATAAACGTACTGGATATCCTCCTACTATTCTCAGTGCTTTATTATCAATAATATATAATGATAGCAATTCGTGTGAATGTGGCTTCATTAGATCTTCTAATAGTAATTAGAAATGTTAACATTAGTATCCGACTTCATAATTTTCTTCGAACCTGATCTTTCCAACGATTCGAAGATACACAAACCGCGTAGGTGCGACTCTTTGGAATGTATATTGTTTTTGTTAAACTGTGTGTTACACTACATAAGTTTATTGATTGATCGGGAACAATTTACCAAAATGGAACTTATTTACCCATAGTTTATTGGATGATATCAGTTCAAATAACACCCTCCATCCCACAGTTTGTTCAAACAGTCATTCAGTTATAAAATTTACTGATATCTTATATATTGAGATGTATATCGACTTGGACCGAGGCACACATGGCAAATTTTCCGTTGATGAGTGGCGGGTTGGTTATTTTTTAACTGATATTTTCGACGTATGGATGCAAATATTTAATCAGTCATAAACAATGTAGGATCTGGGACACCGTAACAATACGAGAGAAAATTAACTAGATAGCAAATGAGTTGGGATGACAGCATTATAAATGGTAGTAAGCAGGAGAATAAATACAGATAAAATATGGGGATAAGAAGTATTAAATAATATTTAGACTCGGAACCTAGAAGTACTCAAAGGTTAAATGCATTTGGATTACTGCAACCGGTTTCGAGCCACTTCACCTAACGTTTCCAACTGTTGGTCATCATAATCTCTCAAACCCTATCTAGGTTGTCTGTAAGAGTCGTTGGTCATTCTAGTTGGTATATTACTGAAAAATGTACATTAAATTGCTAATGGTGACTAGGTTCATATTCGATTTTTCACTATATATGACAATCGGCACTCTTTTTTCGATAATCATAAGAAGTTGTGGTCAGTTACTTTAGGGTCAACGTTAATTGGTACCTGGATTTTGCAACTGAAATTCACCTAAAAACACTAGGTAGTTTTTTTTATTTTGGGCTGGATAGTAATTTTCAATTAGGGAGAAGACGAAGTGGGATTAAACTTAACGCTATCTGGATGGAAGCCTGTAGAAAGCGGTGTGCAACAAGTTACTCTCTTAGGTCCCTTGGTGTTCCTACTCAACGTCAACGAATAGCTACAACTGTTTAGATGGGCATCACTCTTATTTGCAGATGGTATAAACGTTCATAGGGTAATACATAGCGAAACCGATATGCTAGAGCAGCAAACTGATCTAGACGAACTAGTTAGGCGGTCAAGGAAAAGATGTTTAGGAACAAAATCCCATAAAAAATGTTGATGCAAATCGGACACAACAATAACCAGCAATACACTATTGATGAGATATCAATCAAGTTTTAAGACAAGAAGGTTTATGTGTAACTGCAAGTCATGACTTGAGGACAACTGTACACTGCAATTTAGCAGCTGATAAAAGGTTTCATGTGTTATGTGTACTTCTCAGAACCTTTAGAAGCCTAGGCCAAGAAATGTTTTGAAGTTTGTAACTAATGGATTTCCCATATATTCACAGAAAGGGGACACAAAACTGAAGTACGTGTTTTGTTATTTAAAAATCTGTATTGAGCTTCATTTAGTCAGTCATAATCAAAGTAGAGACTAGTACAGATGGGTGTTAGCCCAAGTTCCCAAATGACCATGGCCAGATGAGTTGTAAAGAGGTAGAGTTAAAATAGTAGCAATGCTAATGATAAAGGCCAAACCTTGAGAATAAAGTTCGAAAAAACGGAATGAAAATATATATGTGGAGATATACCGGAGCCTAGGGTGGGGAGTAAACACACTTCAGATCACCACCTGGTTGTGGCCAAGATGAAACTGAAGCTAAAGAAACACTGGACAAACAACATTACAAAGGTTCAATACAGCCTTCCTTCGAGATACTCACGAACTCAACCAATTCAAGATAACTCTCAACAACAGGTTCCAAGCTCTACAGGATCTACTGGAAGAACAGCAAACTAAGATGGAGGACAACTGGAAAGGGATAAAAGAAGCACTAACTTCAATGTGTCAGGAGGTTCTGGGACGCAAGAAGCATCATCACAAGGAATGGATCTCTATAGGAACCCTCAACAAGATTCAAGAAAGGAAGAACAAGAAACTAGCAATTAACAACAGCCGAACACGAGCAGAGAAAGTCAAGGCACAAGCAGAGTACGAGGAAGCCCCATTGAATCCACCGGACATCAAACCAGCACACACTGACCTTCCTATAGATATCACTTCACCAACGATAGAAGAACTCAAGATGGCCATCAGACAAATCAAAAGTGGGAAAGCGGCAGGACCTTACAATATGCCAGCAGAAGCACTGAAGTCAGACATTGAAATAACTGCAAATATGCTTCACCTTCTATTCAAGAAGATTTGGGAGGAAGAACAAGTGCAGACGGACTAGAAAGAAGGATATCTCATCAAGATACCAAAGAAAGGAGATCTGAGCAAATGTGAGAATTACAGAAGAATCACACTATTGTCAGTACCAAGAAAAGTTCTCAACAGAGTGTTGCTGAACCAGATTAAAGACACAGTAGACGCCCAACTTCGAGATCAACAGTTTCGATTCCGTAAAGATCGGTCGTGCACAGACCAAATCGCGACACTACGGATCATCGTGGAACAATCATTTGAGTGGAATTCGTCACTATACATCAACTTCATTGACTATGAGAAGGCGTTTGACAGTATAGACAGAACATTATGGAAACTTCTTCGACACTATGGAGTTCCTGAAAAGATTGTCAACATTATCCAAAGCTCATACGACGGTCTACAGTGCAAAGCGGTGCATGGAGGACAGCTGACAGATGCATTTCCAGTAAGGACCGGAGTCAGACAAAGCTGTCTACTCTCCCCATTCCTCTTCCTTCTGGTGATTGACTGGATTATGAAGAATTCGACATCTGAAGGGAAATACGGAATACAATGGACTTCTCAGAATCAACTAGATGATTTGGACTTCGCAGATGACCTAGCCCTTCTCTCTCATACACACGACCAAATGCAGATGAAGACAGCAAATGTAGCAGCAACCTCTGCATCGATGGGCCTTCACATTCACAAAGGAAAAAGCAAGATTCTCAAATGCAACACGGAGAACACCAACCCAACCACACTTGATGGCGAAACTCTGGAAGAGGTGGAAACATTCACGTACATGGGAAGCATCATTGATGAGCAAGGAGAATCTGATACAGATGTAAAGGCAATGATTGGCAAAGCAAGGACCGCATTTCTACAATCGAAGAACATATGGAACTCCGAACTCTCAACTAATTTCAAAGTGATAATCTTTAATACGAATGTCAAGACAGTCCTACTGTATGGAGCTGAAACGTGGAGAACTACTACATCTATCGTCAAGAAGGTGCAAGTATTTACAAATAGTTGTCTACACAAAATACTCAACATTCACTGGCCGGATACTATCAGCAACAGCGTTTTATGGGAGAGGACAAACCAGCTTCCGGCTGAACATGAAATTAGGAAAAGAGGTTGTAAGTGAATCGGACATACACTAGGGAAATCAACAAACTGCATCACGAGACAATCCCTAGCTTGGAATCCTGAAGGGAAACGGAAAAGAGAAAGGTCAAAAAGCACATTACTCCGGGAAATAGAAGCAGATGTGAAAAGGATGAATGTTAACTGGAAAGAACTGTAAAGGATTGCCCAGGACAGGGTTAAATGGAGAATACTGGTGGGTGGCCTATACTCCTCAACGAGGGGTAACAGGAGTAAGTAAGCATTGTTATAAAGAGTGAATGAACCTGTATCACTGCCACCGATTCCGAACTATGCCAACCAACGTTTCCAAATGATTATCGCAATTACTACCTGGACCTCAACCGGGTAGTCTGTATCTACCAGTATGACTCAGGCTAGCTGTAAATGACTTCGTGAACTGAGGCCATGTTTTAGTTTTGCCGCGACTATCTTTCGTTCAATTTATTCTTACACTTAGGACTATTGCGTACAGAGTTAGGCGGTGGTTGTCCATTGATAATAAATGTCCGCGAGACTATAATTTATGGACGACCTTTGAACGAATCTTAAGTGACCTTGAGAAATATTAGTCAATCAGCAAACAGTCAGTATATGGTAAAAATATATTATACGAAACCAAAGAATCAAAGTGGATACACTTATTTTATATGGTTCTAAAACTTGTCAAAGTTAGAAAGAGGTTTAAATGTTCTGAGATCGTAATGCATAAGGTTGAGGAACTCATCCATATGGCTCCGTAATAGTCGATCTCTGGAGCCAGGATAAGGTCTAAAAAACTCTCTTAGCTTCAAGCACATAGCTTCAGTATTGTTTGTGTGCACTCCGGGTTTGTAAGTTTGTCATTTATATTACGCATATCCAATTCATTTTATGAAGGTTTATTGACATTTACCACATTTACGTAAGATTCCGCGTCTACTCTCAACATTGCTCGCTCGACTAACCTCATAACTCTGGAGAAAAATCGACCTATTTGGCGTAATGTTCAAATTATTCCTACTAAGTATTTTGTTCACTCTGATGATAATTGGATAAAAACCCAAAAATCTACACAAAATCAGGGTTTTTGCCCCAAATTTTTGCAGAATTAGGTGACAGTTCGTAAGTATCTAAGCAACACACCGAAATGTTCCGGTTACCAGATACTAGTGACCTACGGATACTCATTATTTCCAGAGGTCGTGTTTCACACCGATACAGTAGGACAGAGAAAATGCTGGGCAGAAAACTTAGGCCTCGGTTGACGAAAAGACATATTACCAAAGTCACGAACCAGATACATTTTATCTGCCCGACCCAGAAAACGAATTGTAATTGCATGATAAAGCTAAGGAATCAAAACAGGTTCTTCAACCTGCTAATTCGAGATAACGTTTTACAGTAGCCACGCCTACCCTGACGAAATATAGCAATGCAGCCGACACAACATCAAAAAACAATGGCACGTTTAGCTGCAGTAGGTTTTATGAAATACAAGTTTGAATAAAAATGTAGCTTGGTGTACATTTATAGGACGTGACGAGTTCAAGGTTCAGTCATTCGATTCAGTAGGCTATGTCGAAACTATATTATTTTATTATTATTATTTCATTAACAGAAAACTGACCAACTTTCACAAAAGTGACTTTCGTTTACCGCTCAGTCAACAGTAGAATCTTGAGGTCACAAAACCCTACGACCTTGGGTACTTAAATTGGGAGCCTATTAACATCAGGTTTCATTATCCAATATATTTGTGTAGACCTAATGTTGCCCAAATAAATTCTTCACGTTCTCTTCCTGTTGAACCAGTACGGTTTCATGTCCTTGATGGCGTTCGTAAAGAAATAGTCCAGCCATTTGACTGCAAAATTCTACAAAGTTTGATAGTTATTTGTAGATGACTCATCTTGAAGAAGTAATCCCCTACTCTCAGTCAATCAGCTATGACGTAGGACCACGCACATATATGCACCGGTCCGAATCGCTGTGACATTATTATTTTAAGCTTCAGTTTTACAGATATTTTTACTTGCATTGGCATTCTTCTTCCTTTCCAGGAAGGTATTTGTGATGACACGAATTAAGTCATATAGCCCAGGATAACTACTCGCGGATAACTATTGACTTGTATGACCAGTGAAACGTCAATTGGACTTAGCCAAATTATTCAGCAGGCAGCTCACTGAAAGTCAAATAGTTTACTAATCCCGACCAAAGTCAAGGAGAACCAGAATACATCAATAAGTTAGACTGTTTTGCCTGTTTCGCCATTTTCACACGATTTCTTCGATCTACTCTTATTATTACATTTCTATAAAAACGTCATGTTTGATCTGCACAATCGTCAAAGTAGCCACAGTTAATGAATACGACGAAAGAATAATCCACGTTAGATATTAGCTGCTATAATTTAATTCCACTTGGGCTAAATGGTCACATCATCACCTGCCCAGCAATAATCAATACAGATCAACTACGTCGGTGATGTACAAACAAACTTTTACATTTAATGGTCAGTGAGACTTTAAAATGCAGCAGTAACAATACATTTTCAGTTTGACAGTACACAGTGTCATAAATTATAACAAATGTAAACAATTTGCTGTTGGTTATCGTTGATTAGAATCCAAACTTTCAGGTAACTCTGTATTTCGCATGCGACGGACGGATAAAAATGCATACATCTGCTTATTTAAAAATGTCAAGTATGTGCCAAGAAGTTGGGTCACTCTAAATCAATGCGGTTCGTGATATCTTGACGAGTTTGCCCATTTTGTTCATTTAACATTAATTTATAGAGCAATGAATGCCGTCCCCTGAATTGTTTTCAATATTGCAAACCACGAATTACCTAATAATTACTCTAAGAACGAGGAAGTCAGGATGAATTTAAGGTTACTTACTTACGCCTGTTACTCCTTGTGGAGGATCATAGGCAGCCCATCAGCTTTCTCCATTCAACCCTGTCATGGGCAATACTTTCTAGTTCTTTCTAATTAACATTCATCTTTTTCATATCTGCTTGTATTTCCCTGAGTAATGTGTTATTTGACCTTTCTCTTTCCCTTCAGGATTCCAAGTTATGTAGCTCACACAAAATAAAATCAGCAATATATATATACTTCTGATTCGTAAGATCGCATTGCTGGTTTCTTCGATTTTTGATGCGGTATCATCAGCAGGGATGTCCGTGTTTATTGTTTCACTGTCCGCAGGGTTAAATAAGCTTGTTTGTACAAGAAGACTGAGGGTTTTTATATCTGTCATGCTGCCCATGAATCTCAGTGATTTGTTTGTCTTCTTTTTTCATGACCGATCGTTATGGTTAATCCATTTCCTCTTTACATTCTTCGCTGTCTCATAAGGTTCTCTCGTACCTCAATCTCATGCGGCATTACATCATATCATTCCTCGGTCTCTCAAATGATTTTGCTTACCAGCCCTAGAGCTCCTCTTCACCCTCTGGCTTGCTCCTGCGTATCCGGCTTGTGCCTTTGTTCTCTCTGCTCATATTCAACTGCTGTTATTTTCTATCTTCTTGTTCTTTCTTTCTAGAATCCTGCTCAAAATATCAAAATAGATCAATACGTGGTTCCGATGCTTCTTACGCTTCAGAAGTTCACGGTTTACCGGATTCATTGCTTTCCTACTCTCTCTCGAATTCTTCCTCATGATGATTTCCGCTTCTTCATGTTCTCTTCAGTGTGGTCCCAGATAGCTCATTGTGTTCATTTATACGGGCGAATGGTACCACTTACAACCATGCTGTTGAAAGTGCATAGATTCTTCAGACTCTAAACGTTGTCGCTCGATCCTCTCAGCCCATGTCGTTCCATAGTGCTTAATATACCATGTGGTCTATACCGACCTGGGTTTAGGTTTTTAGTTGGGATGATCAGGTCATTACCTGAGCAGTCTTCTACAATCGACTGGATTCTTCCACTAAACTGGTCTTTACCATCTTCATTGGAACCGTTTGTGAACAAGTAGCACTGATTGATAATCACTGTGACCGCTTCCTTTTTTTCGAAGACATTTTGGTAACCCTGGAGTCGTGAGTTTTCCACCCGGTAGATCCTCTTTGTGCCCTTTTAGACGGTATCAGACTTGTAAGAACATCAACTTTGATGCTCTATCGTCGAAATGATTGGGGGCCTACTATAGTTAGACGAGAATGGGGACGAACCAACTAACGCTGAAGTCACACCTCGCGACCAGCCCTTACGTGGATTGAACCATCGACGCATCAAAGGATAATAGATGCTATGGAGACTGTACAACACAAAGGACGTTATTACAAGAATATATTAGTTAAGGTACGACTACGGAAGTACAGAAGTGAAAGAATAACCACTGCTGCGTGGGCCAGTCCATGGCGTACGATTGATTAATGCGCGTTGAGTATCCTTGACCTTGACAGGGATCAATGGTCTGTTCGGTATTCAGTGACCCTACAGACTGATCTCTTTTGTGTGTGAGGTACTTCCTTTTTATAAACTGGTTATTGAAGCACTAACCCAGTAGCCCTTATTTCCTGTTGATCTTCTGCCCAACTGGTTTTAATTATCAAGAGCACCATCAAACTCTATCTTCTGGTTTTCACAGCGTTTAATTGGTTCTTCTAGTTTTCTATATTTTTCGGACGTCCCATCTACCCGTGTCCTGTCTTCCAAAACAGAATTCACGAGGACAATCTAAAACAGTTCACAAGCCTAGAACAAATTGCCTGTTAGCTGACTATCGACTTTCCTGTCTAATCAATTAAAAATGGAGTTCATTAACTAAACGCATGATTGCAGCTCCATCTGTCGACACTTTCAAAGGACGATTGTATAGACAGGGGGATCATCATTCTCAGGACTAACACACACTACTTAACCTCTTGTTCCTTTTGAAACGAAACTGAACTGTACAAATTTGTAGCAGTAAATAAGTCTCCAAAATCAGTAGCACAGTAAGTCTTCAACAATTGATGCTGACCACGTTAGTTTTAATAGTCTCACCTAGCTGAAGGCTCTCAGTCACACATCTGCACTAGAACATGGGTGAGAACACTGTTCTCAACTTCGCCTACGGCCACTAGCCAGTTTAGATAAATCACTTCTCGATATATTGATAGCCTATCAAATATACCTCCGAGTCTCTTCGCTTCTGAATTTACTGTGTGAGAACGTTCCGATTGTAGAATATGTTACTGGTAAATGTGTTATCAAACTCAGAGTACTTGTGGCATCTTCAAATTGTTACTTTGGTGGTCAGAATAGGCATCGGCCTCGTGACTTCAGAATAGTTCAGATCTTCATCAAGATGCTCCGTAACTCCTTCATATGCAGACGCTTCAATTTCAACGATTAAATGATAATTTGTTTGATGTTTTTTATATAACAAGCTTCTTTTTTATTGGAAGTGGTCTCGAATTCTTCTCAACTACTCTTTCATCCGGGTTTAAAATTAGTAGTAACTCTACAGAGCCTCTTGAGTGCGATTATCGTTTCACATTCGCTTGTCACAAAGATATTTGATATTAAATTCTTCTTACCACTGCAGTCTAAAGTTTGGATGTTGGTGTTGGCGCTATTGTTGCAATTTGCGTTACTATTCAGTAGACAGGTCTAAGTATATACTTAGACCTCTATAAAGTTAGTGTCTATTTAATAAAACATCGGCTTGAAATCAACATGATCTGAACACGTCTGGCATGCATTTTGACGGCCTGGTTTTGAACTCGTGTGCCACTTTAAATCTGATAATTTCTGGGTCACTATTCTCCTTGGTTGTAGGCTAACCACAACCTGTTTTATCAAAAGTTGCTTCGATAGTCATTAAAACATTTCATACATCATTCCAAGCCATCAGCGCATGAAATGAGGTAGTCAAATGACATTGAGCTTACACTTCTCATCCTCAGACCGCTAATTGACCTTTATAAAATGAATTCATGTTGAAAGTTTTGGAATATTTTGCTACTCAGGTGTACATACTGACAAACACAGAACTATCGAAATTCCTCTAAAAGGTCAGTACAAGACTTCTTGGTCACTGAAGTCTAATAAAATATTTTTATATTATACTTTTGTGCTATGCTACAGCTTATTTTGGCTGTTCCTTCAGTATATGAGGTCGATTGTCATTTGCGTCCCAAAGGGTAGGTCATAGGGTTTTCTTGACACTCATTAGACGAATAATGACTTCCAGATCGTTATGAAGCCCCTTGATATTCTCATTATTTCGTGTCACCTTTCAAATTTCACCATATATATCGAAAAACATTAATAGTGGTATTAATATATACTGCAGCCCGTTAACATGTTCCTCATGTTGAGATTATATTAGACCGAGCAACATTGGTACTGAACGAATCATACCGAAATAGACTTGTTTACGTGTTGTACGTGGGTTGAATAAATGCACCGAATAATTTTTTGAGAACGAGTTTTCTGATCCATAAGGGATAATTTATGGTTTCTCACAGCTAAATGCAATACTATCAGACGATCGTTGAGAACTTTATTCGCCTCAGTTGAAAATGCAAGTAGTTAGGACAATAAACAGTTTAGATTGTAAGCGATATGTGCTTGGTTAGTGTGTCGATTTCATGAGACAGTCACTTTCAGTTTCAGTTTCAGTTTGGAAAGGACAGGAGGCTTGGTGGCCTGTGTTAGTCCTGGCAATGATGGTCTCTCAGCTGATCCAACTTTCTTTTAAAGGAGTCGACGGATGGAGCCTCAACCACGTGC